AACTGTGTCTTTATTTTAACAGCAGACCGAGCACTGAAAATACATAAAGAAAGACTATTTTTCTACCTCAGCAAAAATACAGCGGATACACTGCACGACCCTTCAGGAGTGACTACTCTGYTTGTTCTATTTACATGGCATAATCTGATTAGAAAAGGGAGAGAGGGGTGGAAATCAGCAAAAAGACCTTTTTTAACCATCAGTCCCGAGAAAGAAATCAGCGTCTTTCTCTTCTTACTGTTGCTGTGAAATTAGAGGTTTCTTCCTCATTTTGTATCAGAAACACATAAAATCCAAGATTTTACATTTCTTCAAAATCCCTACTGAATTATATAAAAGCACAAAGCAATATTTCCCAAGTATTCTGCCACAGATAAAACATAAAATATAAACAGAAAACATAAAACCAAAAATAAATCTCCTCTGGTTCCTGAACTAACAACAATTTGCGACTTTCACACTTCCGTATTTCAATGCGCTTAATTCTTTCAAACAGCTCCAYATTTCTTTTGGGCAGCAGGAAGATATTCTTCACCTAGGATCTGGGCAGGAATCTAAAACTTAACCTTTCACTTTATTCAATTCCTAAGTGAAACATACTTCCTTACTCTGTTCAGGATGGCACCTTAACTAACCACTTACAACAGAGGAGCAAATCTTAGCAGGCTGTATTCTTCTGCCTTCACAGAAGTGAATTTTCTCTCCAGTCAAGTATCTTAAATCCTTGTAAAGACAAAAGGTACTACAAATGCTACAATATTTTTGCAGAAGTAAATTTTCTCTCCAGTCAAGTACCTTAAATCTTTGTAAAGACAAAAGGTAGTGCAAATGCTACAATATTTTTCAAGAAATATTTCGAGTGAATTTTGACAGTTAGACAGTTAAATAGTTTAACCATCAGCCCATGTTTCTGTCACACCAGAGATACATTAAAATTGATTTTGAACTACACCTAAGCAGGACATAGCACAATACATTGAATTTCAGGGGGCTTTCAGCAATCAGCAGCAGCACTTCGARGAATCACTGCATCCACATTTCTGGGACATCTGACTTTGTGCAAGCTCCTTAACTACAGCTACAATTAACATCCTGATCATACACTTTGAATTGCCTGAAAGTTTTTCCCTCCGTCAATATTTTGTACATTGAATTACAGTTTTTAACAGTTAAATGAATATGAACATAYTATCAGACTGCATCAAACTAATCTAAACTAAAATGTTTTGCAATCACTTCCTGCTCCGAATTTGAATATGTTCCCTTGGCTACAGTTTGGTTCTATGTTTCTTTTTCAGCAAAACCAAACTTCAGAACAACTCATTCTGCATACTGGCATTTTAAGTTGCTTTCAGAGCCTTTCGTTGCTTATTTTCTACACTCTTCAAATCAACACACACGCACRTATATATGCACATCGTCTCTTACACAAACAGGTTCATGAACTGCAATCAACAATTCTGTAAATATAAGTTTCCTAGTCATTAATCATCCCTTTTTTTTTTTTAATCCTTATGGAGTGAATTACTAACTGAGAAGAGACGCCAATTCTAGTAAGTGAATGTTACCCAACAGGGATATAAAGCTGTCAACACCATAGTGCTCTTGCTTGCTCTAAACTCTCTCCCAAGCTTCATATGTTTTTTAAAGYGATATTAGCCTTTTTTTTCCAAGGAACCTTACTCTCCTTAAAATCTGAGCACTTGTGTTTTATTGCATACAGGTTTTAAAACAGACTGGTCAGATAACTGCTGAAACATTTTACAAAGCACCGGGTTAGTCAGGCAAACCAAAACTGGACTCTAATACATGGGACTGACGCTAAYAACATTGTAAACAGTACCAAAACTTTTAAATCCCCTATTAAACACAACCTTTAAGACCTCAGTTATCATTTCAGTGACCTTCACTAGATTGTTATAGCTGCTGTAATGGCCCTTTGAATTAAGTACATTCACGTTAGGCATGAAAAACCAGGAAAGTCATAAGGCAAAATTTCTCATGAGAACAAATGATTTTCAGTCTGCACTACAAAAGCTTATATCAGAACACTTTTTCACTMATAAAACTAGAGAGGACGCTAGAAACACCAACAGCACTCTATTTCTCTATTTCTCAGGGAAGTCACTAGAAAAATAATTGMAGCAAACAGTACGATTATAAAACTGGYTACCAAAGGTCATCAGGCTCATCAYAGCAGCAGGTAGTTGAGAGCTTACTGTTCTGTTCTCAGGAATTAACTTCAGAAACAGATAYTATTACAACAAAAAGGCACTTGACAAATAGGAAACAATTTCAGCATTTACATATTTAAGGCCCAAAATGAGATGAGAAAAAGAATTGCTAGCATTTGGCTTTGCTTTCAAAACCTTTAGATAGACTTTAGAGAGTTAAAAATAAAACAAAAACTAAAATGGTCTCTAGTTTTCAGCAAAGTACTTCCATTTTTGTTCCAAATTAAATTTATATTCCATAAGTATTAGCACTTGTTAAAGCTTGAGAAATAAGAGTGAACTGAAAGACTGACAACTGAAGCCTTAGAGGTCATTTCACTATGACTTTCACTAGTATCCTTTTTGTTAAACTCTAGGCACAATAGTAGGAGAGCCCCTAYCAATATTTGTTTCAAAGAATTTTTATACTAATTTGCCAGGATATTAAAAGTAAGACAAATGTCTACAGCTGCATTTCACAGCTCCAGTGAAAAAATTACGAACAGCACAATAATCACTGCAAAGATACAGACTTCCAAAAATACCCAAAACAGGTATGATCTGCATTCAAGAAAAGATCACTCGATCATAACAGGTTCTTAAAGATCAAACTTGAAAAAGAGCAGAAAAAGAATCTGGAAATTAGCTATGTTGATTTATTGTGAGAGTATTTCCARGAGAAAGAAAATAAATCAATTTTAAACAGCACCATTATCTTATTAAAAAAAAAATCTGCCTTAACTAATTTAGTATTGAGTATTATAGGACCTAGGTAAGTATTCAGACAAGAATAATGTTCTTCTTGCTTTCAGTATCGATAAGGAGTAAAGAATAACTTCTATTATGAACAACCTAAACCCAAAGAGATTGAAACTGTTTAAAGCACACCAGCTACGGAAAAGAAAAAAATTACTCCTGCATTTCTTATTCCCCCACAATTCTATGCTCCAGTCCACAACATCTTTTCAAATGAGCTGAAGAGTAATGAATGAAAACTTTAGCTCTTAAAAGTTTGCTTTCAGAAATTGAAGTCTTTTTCTTAAGTGAAAGAAATCTTCCACAGCTTTGCAGGCCAGATTCACCCTGAACCATCGATATAACTATAAAAGCCACTGAATTTGACTTGGATAACATAGCTGCAACTAGAAAGCAAACATATATTCTAAAACATTTAAAAGAATTATTTTAAAGTATATTTTTATAAATGTCCCAAGGAAAAATATTTAAAAGCAATGTYAGAACTAGAGCTGAAAATCAAGCAGCTTTAATGCCTTAGTCTCGAAAAAGGCATCTAAAACTACATAAACTACTTTTTTATTATTAACTAGCTCTTTTTTTAGAATTACTCAACAAATTATTTCTTTACCAATTTCTAAGTACAATAGTATTACAAGTCTTCCACTGCAAACTGTTTCTCCTTTTTCCATATACTGGAAAAACATAGAGAAGAGGATAAAAAACTAGATATACAGTCACCCAAGAAACATAAAAAACTGGTGAGCTCTCTTACCCTTCATTAGGTATATAAATGAATCCTATGCTTTTAAAATAAAATCTGCAGCTCCTTAGTAAACTTCAGCAATTAKGAAGCCTATTGAGCCAAAGAGGTCTAAAACAAGCATCTAATGGTAAAATCGCTAAATAAACCTCACGTAATAGAGAGTCATGTGACGACCGTTTCAACATATCTCTCAAAATGCCATTTACACAAACTCTTTGTGTATAAACAACTGCAATTATGTGTTACCACTCTGCTCATTTTAAAACACAGAGAAAGAGGACTTTTTTTTAGGGTAAAGTTATTGGTGGCCTTTCCTGCAGTATTCTACTTGCAACATCTGGCTAATTTCAAGATTTTTAAATATATGTTTTTCCTAACACGAAGCTGCACTGTCTTAAACACAGCAGCATCAAAGCTAAGATGAAAAAAAGAAGGCATTTAGGAGAAGTGACTGGAAAGTTTATCTGCTTGGAACAAAAGGAGGGAAAAAAAGCAACCACACGTGTAGCATGCTCTTAACACAAAACTGACCAGGAACTTGATAGCAAAGTAAGAAAGATTAAGCATTCTAGAGAAATGCAGGAAAACTACAAAAGTAATGCTCAATATATTCGCTGAAAGAGCTGAACCTTGCACACGCTTTCTCYTGTACTCTTTGCCACCAACTACTACAAAATGCTACTTACCGAAAGAAAAATAAAATCCCAAAATGCAAACATAAACGCTACGATTTTTCCCACCCCGATGACCCCATTCTAAAAGCTGTGACGGTGAGTGTAACACACCTAACCGGTGCCACCTGCACCCGTGAMGGCAGCCCGAGCGCCCGCAGCCAGCCCGGAGGCGCTGCCCAGGCCCGCTGCCCGGGACCGCCGGCGGCCGGGGGGATGCCCGCGGGCTGCCCCGGTGCGATCGGCACTAAGAGAGCAATGACTGCAGGACACGCTCTCACTCCCGCACTCTCCGGAAGGATCAGGCCTGGCCCTTTTTGAGAGCCGCCCGGCCACAGCCCGGCCCGGGTGGCCTCTTTGGGCAGGCGGCCTTGTACCGCCGGAGGGCTGCGCGCCGCACGCCCGGTGCAAGCCTTCCCGCGGATCCCCATCACCGCGGCGGTGCCGAGCAGACGAATGCTTTCCCGGGAAAGCGGGAAGCAGCCCTCCAGCACCCACGCGGACCTGCCGGCCCCTCCGCGCACGGCGGCGACCCGCCCGCCACACGCTCCCCCGGGCCCGCCGCCCTGCGCGCCCCGGCCGGCGGAGCCGCCGTCAGTGCGGCCGCTCGGTTACCTCCCACGGGCTTGCTGACGGCGCCGTTGGGCCTCCCGCGAGTGCCCATGGGGCTGCCGTTCTGCTCCAGCCTGGCCACCTTCCCGGGAGGGGGCCCTTTGACATCGGGGCTGCCGCTGCCTCTGTCGGGGCTGTCCCGCAGGCAGGGGCTCTCGCTCCTCCGCTCCATGCTCGGAGACGCGGCTCCCGCTGGCAGGTCGCAGTAGAAGGAGCACGGACCTAGGGCGAGAGAAACAAGGGGCGCTTCAGTGGTCGCCGGCCAGTACCGGGCCCCGCTAACCCGCCGGGCCCCCACAGCGCGTCTCCGGGGTGTTTCAGCTCCGTGAAGACGGGAGAGTACCGGCTGGGTGCGATGCCACCCCGCTCCCGCCGCCGGAGCTGGCCCCGCTGGAAGCGAGCGGATCGCCTCAGCCGCCCGGCGCCAACCTGCCGCGGGCGGGGGCCGGCAGCGCTGCGCCCCGGTTCCCATYGCGCTCGGCAGGCAAGCAGCCCACCCGCCCGCCGCAGCCAGGTGCTGCGCCCCGGCTCCGTCCACACACAGTCCCGGCCCGCCCCCGGGGGCCGCGGGGAAGAGGCTGCCGGTCCAGACGGCCTGGCTGGCACGGCCCGCCCGCGCTGGCCAGCTGTGTAGCCACAGAGTAGCTAGCTGCTGGCGAGGAAGCCTGTAAGCGAGCGGCTCCCGCTGTACTTACTGCTTATAGCCTGTCTGTAAGTTGGCTGAGTTGGGCTCTGTCCATGGATCAGAAGTAGAGAATCCAGGGTGGAAAGTTTTCCTGTTTCCTCCTCTCACGCCGCGTTCTTCGCTTCTACTGCTTCCCCCCACCCCCAGCCCCCTCCTCGCCCTSCTCCGGGGGTGCTGGGGTGGCGGGGCCGGGGCGGCAGCCCGCGGGGCGGCAAGGGTAGAACCCCGTCCCGGAGGGTCCCGAGTGACGAGCGGAGCGGAGCGGGGAGGTCGGGACGAGGGGGCGGGGAGCCGCGGGGCTGTCGGCTGCGGAGCGGAGAAGGCAGAGGGAGCCGACTTCTCACACCTTCAGCGGAGAAAATCAACACCGGGGGAGACAGGGGGAGAAGAGGAGGGAGCGCCGCTCTCCCGGGRTCCGCGGCGGCGGCGGGTGCCCGGCGGCGCGGGGAAGTGGCGGCGGCGGCCCCCGGTGTGTCACTTTCAATCGCTCCCTCCTCTGCCAGCGACAGCAGCGGCAGGAGCGACTCGCCACAGAGAGCGGAGAAACGGTTATTAGTTGCGTTGAGTCATCGAGGCAAAGTGAGTCCTTTTTGGGGTTGTCCTTGCTTTCGGGTTTGGTGTATGTGCACGCCTGTGTGTGTGTGTCTGCCTGTCTGTCTGCGCGGCGTTCCCGTCCCAGGGCTGTGCATCCCAAACATCGCCACCCCTCCTCGCCTTGACACCCCTCCCCCTCCCCGCCCCCCCGCAAAAATCAAGTCTCGCCGCTACCTCGGAACCGGGCACAGACGGGCGCGCAGCAGCCCACCTCCTCCCGACCCGGCCCGCCCCGCAGAGCCCCAGCCCCGGCCCCACTGCGCGCACGGGTGGGAGGCAGAAACCCACCTGGCAGGAAATTAAACACCAATAAATAAATAATACATCTCGCACGCGATAAAGGAGCGCGGTGCCGCACGAAAGGAGAGCGCAGGGCGGGCTGGGTGGGGAAGGGGAAGCGTAGCAGGACGAGGCGGTGGTGACAGGAGAGACCCAGGGCAGATAGTCGCAAGGGCAGGGGCAGGCGGGCTGGGGGAGGGCCGAGAGGGAACGAGAGAAGGAGGAGCCGGGAGAAGGGGAAGGGCGGTGGGGATAGTGGGGAAGTCGGAGTTGGGGACACTGGACCGACCGAGGAGGAGGAGGAAAGCTGCCACCGGCATTCAGTCCAGACGCCGGGGTTGGTCCGATGCAGCCAGCCCCTGGCGGCCTGGCCGACTCTTGCCACCCGTCCCCCACCCCTGTCCCCCTGGGAACCGAGCGACGGCGGGGATCCTCCCCGTAACCTCTCCCCGCTGGGGCGAGGCGGCAGTAACTTTTCGCGATGCGGTGGGGGCTTCCGCCCCGAGGGCCGGTCGCGYTTCCTCCGCGCCGCCAAGAGCCAGCGACCGGCCCCAGGTAGGGCCCGCCGTCGCCCTGTTCTCCGCGCCCGGCTCCAGGCAGTTACCGGGGTGTCCTGAATAATTTATGACGGGGGCCGGGAGAAGGTGACAAGCGGGCAGGGAAGCACTGCTGCTGCCGCCGCTAAATTATTTAATAGCAGAGCTCCGCGTAGGGCATGACAGCGCTACCGAAGTGCAGCCAGTGGTGCGGGCAGAGCTCCGGCCGGGAAGTGGCAGCGGGGCGGGATGGAGCCGCTCACCGGTCCCGGGGCGGCGAGCGATCAGCCGGCAGGCAGGCAGGCAGTCCCCTGTCCGGTGCAAGGTGCACCGTGCCGCTCCCTGGGGCTGGCGGCGGCGCGGGCGCGTCCCCCGGCGAGGCCATGCCCGGCGGGCGCCCCGAGGACCCGCAGCGCCCCCTGCCCGGCCCGGGGGGCGCGGGGGAATGAGCCGGCGGCCCCGCTCCGCCGAGCACTCACCGCCCGCCCGGCGGCGGAGCGACACCCGCGTTAAGGTGGACCGAGGGAATCCCTTCTGACTCGGGGGCCGGGCGGCGCACAGGCGGCGGGTGAAGGAGGCGGCGGCGGCGGGTACCCAAATTGTCCCGATCCCCCCCGTCCTGTCCTTGCCCCGCCGCCCGTCCGCGGCTCCCTCCCTGCGCGGCGCCGCGCTCCCCACCGTGCACCCTTAAGAGCTCTGCCTTTTACGGTGGCGCCGGAGGGTCAAAAAAATGGGGCTCCGGGGGGGTTGGGGGGGGAGCGGAGCCCCCCCATCCCGGGCACGGCGGCACTGGGGACCGGCGGGAGCATCATGGCCACCGGGCAGCCCTGGCGACAGGTTTTCGTTCGCCCAGTAAGCGCCCGGGGAGAGTTGGATGGGTAGCAGTTGTTGCCCTGAGCCCGAATGCAGCCRTCCCGGTGCTGCCCCGAGGTTTGGAGGAGGGTCAGGTCCCCACGGGAGATCGGCAGCCGCCGGTCCCGCTGCGCCCCTCCTTCCTTCCGAGTGGCAGTGACAGCCCACCCGCCCGCCGAGCGCTCGGGTGTCCCGGTGAGCTCCGGGCCGCCCCTGAAAGTAGTGCCGGGAGAAGCCACGGATCCCCGGGCAGGGTAAGAGAAATCGTCCTGTCGTTCCATATCCGACCTTCGGGCCGGCCCCGAAAAGCAGTGCCAAGTGCGGCTTTCCCCGCCTCGGGGCCGAAGCACTCGTGTCTTTCCCCGCCTCGGGGAGACACGAGGGGCAGTGGGACCCWCCGCCAAAGTCTGGACGCGGTGCCAGCCTTGCCCCGATACAGCAAGTCGTGAACGCGGGTGGGAACCGGGTCCCACCGCCKGCTGAAATCYGGGGGAGCCAGAGAAGATACGGGGRACAGCAGAAGGCCGAGGGCGAGGGGGCCCCGCCAGGGCCAGCACTCCGGGAACGCTCGGAGGAGCGAGAGCGGCGGTGCCGGGAACGGGCAGGCTGCGGGGGAAAGAGCGCAGCGGCTGCCACCAGCCAGGTCTTCTGCCTTCTCTMTCAGAAAGGAGCCTCAAAGTTTAGAGAACTCTCTGCTTTCTTTTTAAATAACCCGATCTAACTTTTCTCCCTTTCCCCCCTCTCTAAATCTGAGAAAGCTCAGCAGCATGAAAGTTAATGTTCTTAAATGGAAGCTAACGTTTTCCACCAGCTATCGAATAATTGAATAATRTTTTGTTCTTACCTTTGATGTTGAACTACGAATTCCCGCGGATCAATGGCCAGAAAGTTAGAAGAATTGGTGATTTAGGACTTCAGTACTTCTGGAAAAAAAAATGCCAATGGTTTAGCCAGGATCTTCCCTGTCTGATTCGTTACTATTATTATATCTGATGATGTGGATGGATGGAGAGATTCAATCCAAGCCCATTAATGAGGTATTTTATAAACACCACCGTCTGAAGATCTTCATTTACATTTTGTCAGTGATCCTTTCCTTMACAGCGGAGACGTGTGGCGACAGCGTGATTACAGGACTTTAGTAWAGCTCCTATAAGAGTACGACTGGCTTGTTAATCGATTAATATTTTATTAAGTGTAAATATTTTATAAAGTTTTTAGGAAAACTATCGATTTTAAATTATTAAACTAGTCAGAAGGGCATTTGAATAATGCATACAATTAAATACATTTAAATATATATGTAGCGATTGCTTCATTTGCAATGAATCCCCTGCACCTTTCTCTTGCTTTCGTTTTTTTCTCCAACGGCAGCTGGTTTCTCATTTGCACATTTACTGGAATATCAGGATTACTGAATATGTGTTTAATCCGTATTTATAAATTGAATGTTTACAYAAAATACTCTGAGAAAATAACTTTGAAATTGAGAGAAGTAATAATTTGAAAATTTAGACGCGGAAGCAAAGGGGCTTGTTAGTGAAACTGAGGAAAACTGAACCGACATCATACAAATCTTGTCTGGTAACTTCTGTTTTGTAAACATCACTTAATTTAGATGGAATTTGTGAAGCATGATGCTTATTTTACTTTAACATATTTTTCCCAATAAAAAATTTTTCTTCGTTCCGAATTACAAATGTCTTTTTTCCCCTGCTCCATGATTTTCACGTTGTCCTTATTTCCACTGGAAAAAAAGGACGATTATTTCCCATTGCTTTCCTCACCCGCCTTCAATGTCGCTATAAAAAAAAAGCTAAAAAATTATTAATAATAACYTATTTTTCTTTTTCTAACACAAACGCCGACACGAGAATTTTCTGTTCTCACACTCTGATGAGATCAAGAGTGCGTGCGCTCCGAGTGCCCAGTGCTTCTTATTACTGAAGTTTACGGACGCCTTAAGTGGTTGATTGCAAA